CACAGTGCTAAGCAAAATGGCAGAGGGTAATATTTGTTACTAATAAATAAATAATATTTTTAAATAATTTTTTTGGCCAAAAGTTTGTGCAACTAAAACCTCTGATTTTAACGCATACTGTTGACAGGGCTACTTGTTTGGTTGCAGGCTGGCTGGCAGGTTGAGGCTGGGGAATTTTTGTGTTTTGTATTATTTTTTACTAATAAATACCATTTTCCAACGAATATTTGGTGTGCTCATCCACCAAAACATTAAATTGTAGGGTCCCACACTAAATTGATTTCCTCCATCGGGGTTCAGGCTCCTTTCTCCAGCACTGCCAGGTGTGCCCACAGTTAAAATGGCCGCTGGTGTTCTGCCCCCACCTTCTCTGTCATACTCAGTGCTTTGCATCCACATTCACTTCCGCTGTGAGTGCTAAGTTAGCAGTGCTGAGTGCTGACTTGCAGCACAGTGTTCAGCGGCGGTTTGCTAACTCAGCACTTAGACTGTGTATAGATTTGAGGATGCAGAGAAGCAGTCCATGTACAGCAAGAAGGAGACACACTTCAGTGATCACAGAAGCAGGGAGCCAGCTCTTGGATGCTCTGGTGAGTACAACTTTTTTTTAGCACCTAGACAAAAACAAGCACTTAACTCTTCCCATGTGGAGGGAGCCCCACTGCATGGATTGATAACATTTTTAACTGGAGTTATGCTTTGAAGTAGCATATACCTCATATGTCTATGTTGGCAGATTCCTCAGACATGGGGAATAGGAGGATTCAGCAGAGACACTAACAAATAGGTCATTATAAATTCCTATTTCTGAATTTACACCTAAAGTTGAATAGGTTTGGGCAGTGTTTTTCTTTAAGACCTCTTTCACACGGCCGATGCGATCGGGTCTGCCTGTCAGTTTTTAGATCTGATCTGATGCCCAATGTAAGTCTATGGGTAGCCGTGTGTAAATGGACCAGCGTCCATATACACCCAGTTACCCCCGACTCTGGCAAGGTCTGTTTCAGTTTCACCAGAACGGATCATGCCGGATCGGGTCTAATCTGATGTGAACGGACACATGTCTGTTTAAATCTGATTCCCCATAGACAGACATGGGTCTGGTAATTGCAGTTTTTTCCTCCATCTTGCAATGGACACGGATATCACAGCGGTGACATCCACTCCGTACTGCTGTGATCAGGAGAGGATCTGTGCACAGATCCTCTCCTGACCAGTCCATGTGAAACGAGCCTATTATGGTCCAGTCCCACTCTCAGAAACTGATTATTGTTCCTAAATCACTATAGCAAAAATAGGAAAAATATACAAAATTGAGCAGATATATCCATTGCTTGAGATTTTTAATAAACCTGCTTTATTTTTTAATCTAAATAGGAATGCGACTACCGTGAATGCCCTGTCAAACCAACTTGTAAGGAGGGAGAGAACTTGTTAGTGAAGAATGACCCTGATAATAAGTGCTGTTCACTCTATGAATGCAGTAAGTAAAAAAACTATGTTTTGTTTTGTACATTGGGATATCTTTACTGTGTATGCCACCTAGGCAGCCAACCACTTCAAGCTAGGAACTGCATTTACTTGCATCTTAAAACAGAACTCCAAGTAGAACATTATACATTTTAGGACCTCAATTTTATGCCCCACCTATAGATCCTATCCTACCATTATAGCTGCAAGTTTCTTCATTGTGTAGACTTCAGCACCATACCCCCATTTAAATCATGATGGTTCTCACCTATCTGATGGAAGACTTAAAAAATTTGAAGCCTACATTCTGCTTTCTTAGTCACCTTTTCTTTTCAAGGCTGCTGATTAGTCAGATAAAGTGTGACAGTACTGATGCAGTGCTGCCCCCTACTATATAGCTTCCGGTGTAAGACTGACAGCACTGTGCAGTGCTCTAAAGCCCTGTTGACTTGCGTTCCTGGCCATCTCCCTTTCAGTCCGTCCTGGCATGCAGAAGATTTTGGTAATCCAATACAATTAGATTGAAATTCAATATTAAAAAATACACTTAGGATTCTTTCACACAGTAAGGCGCTTTTATGACATATATTACTGCAAACCATTTTTCGTAGATTCCTACATGCATTTACTTGCTTTTAATGCACAATGGTGAGTGTTTTAAAGTGTGGTAATGAACGTTGTACAGTATATTTATTCTTTCTGCAAAGTTGGGGAAGGGGATTCAAGAATAGTTTCCATACTGCAGATGCAATTAAATGCACAAACTACACCCTATGTTCATCTAATTGGCCTGAAAATAATATGGTATTGCAGTAAAATGTTGCAGGTCCTATTACAATTTTGGGCAATTTAAAATGAGCCTACTTGCATAAGCAGAGGTGCTCTCCTCAGTGAAAACCAATGTCAAAGCAATCAGTTAATCCAGAGTTAGTAGCAACTGAAGGTCTATAGATATAGCAAAGATTCCCATAAAATTTGAGCTTGGCCCTGCTTAATCTACCTTGTGTACCTGCTAAGGGATCCTTTAATATGATGGGTGGTGTTACTGAGCAGGAAATAGATGGAGCAGTTCCATGCGTTTTATTTACTGGCAATGTAAAGATTTGTATTATACTTCAACTGCCTCTATCTCTGGATCAACTAATCTTTTAACATGATTTTTCAATAAGACTGACAATTCATGCAGTGTTGTCATTCAATTTCAATGGCACTCCAATGTACTAAAGGAATCCACCTTCGATGCACATGCATTGCAGCACACCACAACACACTGCATTCCTCTACCTAATTTGTGAAATCATACACTCAGTTTAAACTACACAGGTTTGTTGTTAGTTTTCTTGAATTTAATTGATTTCAGTGGGGTGACATTTCAAAGTACAAAGTATAGTGTTCCAAACTGCTAAGCCTACTATATATTGACTGCATGAAAACAAAATATACTGATGGCTGTAACGTCATTTGTTTGCAGTACCACCAGCAGCACCCACTCCTGTGATACCTGTGCTTACTACAGAAATTGTACGTATATGGCATAGCTTTTTATTTAATATCTTCTTTCCATCTCTAATATCATCCTTCCATATCCTTTCAAAGTTTGCAATTTTCTAAACTGATATTCATACATTTTTAATTTTGGATATATGTTTAAAAATTAAACATGTATTACAGGGTGCATCTATGACACTGTTTCCAAAGCATGCTGGGTTTTCTTATAAGAAAGCCAGGCACTAGTACTTTCTGGAATACTGTGTTAATCTTCTAGCTATGGCATTGGTGTCTCTGCTATCATAGAAGTAATGGATCTGTCCCTCCTCTGAATGTTTTAAAAGGTTTCTGTTTTAGCCCTTAAAATAATAAATACATTAAAAAATGATATAATAAAAATGTATTGGATTGTTTTTAAGTTCTAACACATGTCCTATAATTATTGTATTAGTGCAAGGATTTTCAGTGTTATGTACCTGAATGTGCCAAGGAGGAGTCCAAGATAGTTCCAGTTGGCATGGATGGCCCATGCTGTTTAAAATATGAGTGTGGTAAGTATACTTTTCTTGGCTATGCCTATTGTATGGTTCTTGGGAAAGGTTATGTTGCCTTCTATTGTGTACACATGCAAAATAGAAAGAAAATACAATTACTCAGCATATTCTGCCGTCATTTAATTAGAATAAAACCTAATTCGGTCACTATAGTTTTACTGAATATACACATGTTGAATATAATGTTAAACTGCTCTTACATGGGTTTATATTTAAGTGGTTTAGAGAATTCTACTGTATATTGGTTATATACACAGTAACTAAGCCATCTAATTATGGGGTCTATTCACGAAGCAGCCGAAGGATCTAGCCGTAGCTTCGACCGATCCTTTGGCTAGCTTCGGCCCCAGGACCCCTTCGGTTCAGTAGAACCGAAGGGCTGCTGTACGGGCTATTCACTATAGCCCGTACAGCTCCCGAACTTGGCCGAGCGGCTCAGTCGAGCCGAACGCATATGCCTCGGCACGGCTGAGCCGCGCTGAAAGCGGAAGCTTGCCGAGCGGCCCGGCCATTGGCCGACGACAGCCTGCTTCTGACAGCTGGGCGGAGCCAGCCGTGATCTTACCCACTTGCAGAGAGATCAGCGTCCCTGGTTACCAGCTAACCAGGGACACTGATCTCCAGACAGCCTAACTCTCCCTGGCGCTCCGGGAGTCTCCTGCTCCCGGCCGCAAAGGAGAGAAACACTACTTTTTCTTTTTTTTTCTTATTCTGACACGGAGCAGTGTCAGAATAGGAAAAAAAACTAAAACAATTTTGGCTATAGGAATGCATTGCTAGATTCCTATTGGCTATTTCAATTTGCAATAGCCAATAGCACACTAGCATTGCACCCGTCCTCTGCTGCAGTTCTCCATCAGGTCCACTAGTGATTGACAGCAGCAGAGGGCTGGTACAATGCTAGTTTGCTATCGGCTATTGCAAATTGAAATAGGCTTTTTTTTTTTTTGACGGCAGCAGAACCGCCGGCCAATAGAAAACTGTCATTGCTAGCTCCGCACATGTTTTCAGTCAAGAGAAGCCAACCTGATAGCTTGAAATGCGCATACATGGCCAAATATTTTTTTATGAGTTGCTCAGTGTATCTAAACACTGGGCAGATTTGCAGGATGTTAGGATGTATTGGCAGTTGCATCAATATAACACAATTCCAAGACAGCTTTAACTTGCACAGTCATGGTGTGCAGATCAGTTATTAAGTAATATTATTGCAGAGGTGGTTTTGCAGCTAGCATGCTGGTTCATGGGTTAATATTAGTGACTGGCAAGACAGCAATTTAACATTCTGACAGAGTAATGGTGTTCTATATCAATACAGTATACTGTATTTGTATATGTTTTATATGTGTGCAGCAAGTAGGTTCTGCTGTTTGCTTCTATAAACATTGGGATTTACTTAGTTGGTTCCTTCATTTCTATAAAGTATTGTAGCATAACATATAACCATATATTATACTGTAAATTAATAAACCAGTTCTGTTCTTACAGTGTGTGAACCGTGCCAACCTGTTCCTTATTGCAATGGATACCAACCTGAAATTTTCTTCAATCCTGATAAACAATGCTGTCCAAAATATGAATGTCGTAAGTAACCAATCAAATTTCAGCTTTAATAATCTAGCTTTCGGTAGAAAAATGATAGCTAGAATTTGACTTGTGTTTTGTGTAGCTGACACAGGGCATGGATTCAGATATAATAAATTAGAATATGATGATATTTATCGGTGCAAACATTCATAAGTTTCATTGATGGTAGTGTGGGGGTAAGATTTTAGACACAGGTAAAATAAAGCAATCTATTAAGCAAACTTTGCATAGAGACATCTAGGAGTTTTTCTTGTGGCACAAAAGGTGATTTTAAGATTACATTACAATGTGATTGTACAATCTCCATTGGACCTACCAAAAATTATGATATCAATTTAAAGGATTTTGTAGGTAGGCCTTCACATAACATAGATTAAGCAAATCTAAGAGATGGTACAAAGTTTGTTCATGTATAGACCGCTTAAAAGATCTTAGCAGTCACTGTGTTTTTTTTATCAGAGAGTCATAAACAATTTAACAAATCAATGGTAAATTGTAACTAACACCACTCTCTTTGTCTCTCTCCATCTCTACATTTAGCTGAGCCAGTAAGTATATTACATTTAAAAACAAAGATATAATATAAAAATAATTAAAATTATATTTGCATACAGTATATTAATGACATACTATATTTGACATATTTTATTTTCATTTTAGACTTCTCCACCAAGTGCACCAACTCTGCCTACTACCACCGTAAGTTATACAAGCCTTGTACCAATGTGGAGGACACATTTTTGATACAAATGACAATGCCTCACTTTGGTGTGAAAAGTACTTCCTATTTAAAGTCAATTCTCTCCAAACCACCCAAAAACATTTTTGGGCAGGGAAGATTAATTGCATAGGTTGGGAAAGCTTGACCATTCAGTGTTTTTTCTAATGATATAAGACAGCATCAGGTGTCTTCCCTCTCTAGCGCCTGCACATTCAATAAGTGTAAGCAAGAATATTTATGCTTAAAACTTTGGTATCTTAACTTAGATAGTATAATATATAATAAACACCTTGCATTCATTGATAGAAACACTAGGCATTCTCTGAATAGCAGCTGTGTTAAGCAAGTGATCTGGTGTGTTTTCAGAGCACTTTTGGGATAACGGCCTCTTCCACCAACATCTCCTGTTATTGCATTAGTGACAAGTTATGACTACATTTCAACATTATATTAACAGTCTTTTTTTTATCACGTACCTCCATAGGTCTCATACACCCCATTACTACCTTCACCTCCAGTAAGTTACCAAAGCTGTTATCTGTATACTGTGTGTGTATG